GATAACGCTTTGGCGTTTGAAGCTATGGGCACTGGGTTCGAGCCTCGGTGAGAACATCATCATCACTCAGTGAGAAATGCAGGTACATCCAGCTGACGAGTCCCAAATAGGACGAAATGCGCATCCTGGATTCCACTGCTAGCCACCATCCACCAATTGTATACAAAGCATACTCATAGTTCATGCTGGTGAAAATAATTCGAAGTAAATTATTGTTTCTATCAACATAATTCCTTCCTTATGTTTCGGTTAGAATATAGACCCTCAGCAACACACTGTACACAATACTCTGCCGTCACTTTTAACTGCTTCCACGACTGACCGCAGACTATCATTTCCTATTTACATGGTCTCATCCTTGTCGCAATCGAATCCACGCCCATCTCGTCGCTTTCTGTTGGGGTTGTGCTTGAGGGACTAATGCAAGATGTTACGTGAATATATCCTCAGTGTATATCCACTTCATCTCCAATTTCTTGTAAATATTTGTTGGTCAAAATGTTCTTGGCTGCTTCACTAACTGCCAGAGGTTTTGTTGTTGATACTTTCCAGTAACGATGCTATTTTCATCATCGGGCTAGCCAAGAAAGCAGATGTTGATTAAAGTCTACTGTGGGCTGTTGGAAATGCTTTAGTGGTAAATGCGTCAATTACTTTAACTATATAAGAGTACTGACCTGAAATTAGCATCAAAAATTCAGATCTTCATTCTTGCAGTCAGTGCTGTAGATACCCACAAGGATTTCTTTACCCACTGATTATATTGCTTGGCTTCGACATCCCAATCCATTCTGCTTGTAGTTAATACGATATTACCCAGGTAAGTGAAGGAGATGATTTCCTCTAGATTCATCATATTGATGATGATCAGTGCTTGTCTTTGTCCGCCGGTTATCTGCATCACCTCTATCTTTTTTGCGTCCACTTGAAGAAAATTATTCACTTGAATATGTACTGTTTCCATGTCCACTTTCAGGAGAAACGAACAATAATAATAAAAGGTGAAAAGCTGAACTCATTTAGTCGGAGTGTTCTGCTTCAAGTTATACAAATGCATTGTATATGGGAAAGTGTTTTGCTGACTGAAAAGGTTTTCACAATATATCTGTCTCATACTTGTGGTATGTAGAGTTTCATTGACTGTTAGAAGTGAGGAATGGTAAATCAGCAGAGCTATTTACGACCACCCTAACATTGACAAATAACACTTAATGAACCGCAAAAGCTTAACTGTCGTAACAGCACCCTACCGGCAAGAGGTGATCATCCTACTGTTGGTCAGAAGTGCACAGTGAACTATAAGAAACTAAATGGTTTATACGACAGCCGCTAATTGTTCTTGCTCAAATGATCGTTTCCATGAGATAGTCATTTGGTTTATAATCTTATCACCTCAGACTGATGGGTTCCCATTTAGACCCTTGCTAAAATAATCGTCGTCTCCGCGTGTTTATTTCTGAAATGAACTAAATGGCTATCATAAATTTTACTGGTCTCTACTACAAAAAATAACTCCATTTCATTGATATAATACTTGACGCTTTTGTTTGTTGATATATATAACTGAAGCAATCACTCATTGTTTATAAGTGTACCGACCGTACAAACACTTCGATATGTCGTGTTGTAAGGTTATTGCAGTATATATTCAGTAATGGCTAACAATGGAATGCTCCATTTGGTACTCATCGGCTGGAGGTAAGTGAATCATAGTAGTAGCCGGTATTCTCACTCAAACTCGAACGCACTCATTGTTTTAAATGTCAAAATGTAATCAATAAACTGAGTAAGTCATGTGTTTTATGTCATTTTAATCTAGGACTCGTTTGCCTACAGAATTTTCAAGATTTTTAAATACTGATAATGCTGAGCTGATGAAATACTGAAGCATCCAAGCAAGGAGCTTATAAACTGAAATAGGGGTGAACAGTTCAAAGTCATACACTAACAACTAGAAAGATAAAACGTTTTGTCAGTAAACTCATATCCATTGATGATTTTATGATAATCCTAACTCAGCAGCTTAGGGATCTGATGGAAATATCCGTTAGCTGATGAGTACCAAAAAGAAAGAAATATATTTTCAGGATAACGCTATTAACCAGTGTCAAAAAAGACATTGAGTAGGTTTTTTCAAGTGGCATTATTCCATTTTTACTATTCATTTTGATCTCTTTTTTCTATAAACGTAATTTGTTGTAAATCACCTGAAAATAAAAACGGCACACAGAAATGTAGTACAATTCCACAGTTTCGAGTGTACACGAATATCGTCAACCTGTGAGTAATGCCGTCCCTCAGTTAGGTTTAAGAACAAGCCTTCAAATAAACAGTTATCATGGCGTTGAAAACATTACATTATTAATAACGTAGTGATTTAGTGAAAGATTGAGAATTTCGATCAAGACAGTATGGTATTTAAGTGATTTCTACAACCTATATCTGTGGTCATTTATAGATAGTACTGATAACTGAATGAGACTGTATTCAGTTGGCTTATTTGCTGATGAAAATTCAAAAAATTGAAGAAAGAATAGGAATTCTTATGTATTTAATCAAATAATAGACAATCCTCGTACCTTTTTCCTGGTTATTTAGTCTAGATGGGAAAAGCATGAAGGACCACTCAAACTCGATCCAGTTCATTTTGGCTTGAGAACAGGATAATGTAATCTTGATTATAAGGGGAAGCTTATCACCAGAATAGTATAAGCTAGATAATAAGTTACATTCACTCATATTAATCCAGTGTTGTCAGCGTCAGATAATGATATCATCTCCGCTGAATACAAAACCTTTTAGGCTCATCTGAAGAACTGGATAAATGGATAATTGGCTTGATTTATCAACACTAAAGCCAAATGTGACCAATATAACACCTCTCTTACCATAGTTCATTTGACACAGTAATTCAGAGTTGATTGGTCTTGATTAAACTCATCTCATTTTTTCGACTCTGCCAGTCAATAACATTAAGTCTTAACAATAGAAATAGCCTCATTTAAGTGCAGAATTATTTGCTGGTGATCTATCTAAACAAGGAGAGTTTTACTAAGGTTATAAATGATGAGTCAAGTAAAACGCATTTGCCTTGGATTTTTATTTCATGAACCTTACTAAAACAGAGAACTCTGTTATCCTTTAATATATTTGCTTGATAAAACTTTGGATACAGATTTATCACTTAACATCAAAAACTGGTAGATGCTAGGAAAGCCTTCCTTTATTCGAAATGAAGTTTTTACAATACTGCGGATGAAACCAGAGCTGCTTTTGTGCATCTGTAAGTCAATAATCTACTAGCTGGAAGGCTGAATAGTTGAGATTAGTTTCCAGGTCTTATACAGGTTTCAGTTAAGTGTTTGGTAGCTAAATAACAGCGACCATTACACTCATTTTTTTTACAAACAGAGGTACTTTGAATAAAGAACTTTAAGATATTCCAACGCTACAACAGTTTAGTAACTCACTATCACCATACAATAGGGTAACGAGAAAAAAGCTCATACACCAAGTGTATGAGCTGACAAGTGATTATTCAAACCATCTGTCCACAGTTAAAAACAAGAGGAAAAAGTTTCGGTTAGCGATGTCCTGAAGAGTCAATCATATTGAGTGTAATGCTTCATCGAGTCGAAATAAAAAGATTTCAGTTAATGAATGAAAGTGACAATGGATCTAAAAGTGAAACGGTTAGGAACTTATGCAGTTTAAGTGGACAATTTAGAGTTTCAACAGAGCAACATGTAAATAATTTGACAAGTGTGACAGTACTAATGCAACATTTTTTTTATCATTCCCACTAAACATTTCGTACATAATTGTAGATAAAAGTTAACCGAGTGCAAAAGGTTACCTTTCAAATAAGCGATTCAGGTATGTAAGATCAAATTTATCATGTGATAAAGGAAACGCATTGCCTCATGTCATAAAACTGTTGACAAGTTTGTAATAATTAGCTTTTGATTTAATCTACCTCTGACAAATATGCAATTGTGAATTGTTTGTGGAAGCGAACGTATATGTACAAGAATAATCTTCGAACATTTCTTCCTAGAACGTCATGGACGCATCATCAGACTGGTGACGAGTGGAAACGGCATTGGTGTTACCATATTGGCTTTGTGGAGATTCAATTTATCACAATGTAGAACTTACCATAAATTGAAATGGCTCCGATGAAATTCTAGCTCCAAGCTTCTCAACGTCTTGTTCGGAGGTGGGTTTGTCGAAGTGTAATCTGAAAACCCGATCATTCCAATCGGGGGTGATTACAAAACGGTTGCGAATAACACTGGATAATTTCGAGGTAGATTTTGCCACCAACTAACACCCGCTGCATAATCGTTGAAAGCGAAGGACCATGGACAATTAGTGTGACCTAGTTTGTGACTCTTCAATACCCACTCAGAGCTTTCAGGTGAATAAGTGAATCCGCCAAACACTTAGTCATGGGTTTTGTAGCTAATTACTCATGATAAGTAGATTCTGTCAATACACGGGATTACGCTACTGCCTTCAGCGTGTTTGTGTGCTCCCTGTTAGGTTCGCAGTTGTGCATTGTTGAGGTCTTCCAATCCAGGACGAAACGTTGGTCTGTCGCTCCTAGTTATCACCGGTTTAATAACTGATGTTGGTTTTCGATAAACTCTGAGTTGAAATCAGTCAAACCTGTACAACCGAACACTTGAAGACAATGGATAGCGATTGTGCTAGGTGTTAAACAGGCTGAGGTTCTATTGATGCAGGTATAAAACATAGGCACTGTGGTAGATTATAACTCCATTGTAGATATTTATCAAGTAAAAGCTGTGTTAGTGACTTGATGCGATTATTAACAATAATTTGTGCTGGAAACGTCATCATATAATATTACTGTGCAACATTGTGTGATTTATCAAATTAAGATGTTATCTATAATGGAGGCTTATGTTCTATAAAATGTCTTGTTAAGTTTCTACACATTCGATGGACGTTAACATAAGGTTTAACAGCTTATCATGACACTCAATACTTTTAATGTTCAGACTCCTTATAGAATACCGAATGACTTTCGATTATTTTCTATGGATTCACAAATACTGCGGAAAACATCCTCGAAGTTACCTGGTTTCAGAAAACAGTCAGTTGGCTGTTACATTTTGACTCAACTCTGTACAGAATTATTTCACTTATATTGTGTTTTACACCTGTATATACACTGTCCCATTTAATGAAATATATGACAGCCCCTAAGTTGACTACGAGAATTGTCGTAAATCATTCAGAGCCAAATGAACTATTTGCTGGTTTCTTCAGGATAGTACAAATTCTTAACTGTCGTTGTCTCCATGAACAGGCAAACAGATTAATTCTTATACTAGTGAAGCATTTAGAAGCAATAATTGAAAAAAAATATTAGGTGAATAGAACAATGGGATACGACTAGCGTAGTCTTTTAATGCATAAAATTTGTGTTCCGCTACTTCTTAATTAATGGCATCAACAGCGGAATTTGAAGTAGAGCCGCAGTAGCAGTGTTAGTAGTAATAGTAGCTATTAAATCCCAAACTTTGATGACATTTTTGTTGAACATTTAAAAAATCACCTAAATGTTGAAAATAATAATCCGAACTCTAAGTGAATATTCAAATTGTTCATAAGTCTACCAGTTATTTGAATTGGACAGATTAAATCCGATTATGCATTGAAATGCAATGCTAACAAATAAAGCCCAAATAATTACTCCTAATTCACTTTTTCACCACAGTCTCCTGCGAAGAATAACGAGTTGAGTTATTGATTATTTAGGTGAAAGAAAAGAAATCCTCAGTGGGGTGTGATCATCACACGAACGATTTGCATGCAATGGGGAATTTACCAATTCAAACGAATAACGGAATAGAATATAATAGTAATGATAATTACTTTTTATCATTTAGTCTAGAAGAAATTTTGTCTAACACTGGAATTTAAACTAACGGTACCATTTAGGAATTTGTCTCCTATTAAGTAAAGCTTCGTAAAGGGATTAACTAAACCATCCTTTATTTCATCTAATTTTTCAGCTGGGAAATGGCTTTTAGACTACAGGAAAGGAAATGTTTCGATACACCTGAAGCTGATATAAGTGAAATCACCGTTTCAGAAACTAAGATTACATAAAAAAAGGTTATTCAGTATTGTCTAGAAAGATTTTATCAACCTCTGATACTAGTTGTCGGATAGGAATTCTTTTAACTGTTTAGTTTGTATTAATGAATGAAGTTTGCTGATCAAAATGTTTAGCAACTACATTGAGTGACATGACACTTGTGTGTACCGCTTTTTCTATCTGATATTTACAGATTGTGGGGAAAAACTGTAGTCCCAAGTGGAACACAGATTCTCTTAGAGATTCTTAACTTCATCTAATAATACTGAATTCTATGGTCCTATCAGTCAGTTATCCGGTAAGCGAGTAGACTGAAAACACAAGTCAAATAAATAAAGCCAATGAACAAAGATTACATAGATGAAATCTAGGTGTGTGGTGATTCGGAGGTCATTAGCCGCCTTTATGAAGAGAATAATATATTCACCATCTTAAATCTTATAATAATATTAATAATAACAAAAGCTCTATTTTGCACAATAAGTTTACACAATATGTACTATTTTCACAGTAGTTCATTGCATAATATTTATTTTTCATCCAGTAGTTTCGAGTAAAACAGCCATCTCCTGTATATCATTTGACGCAGTGATGTTCGATCTGAAGAATAAAATAATCCACTAAGATATTTTTCTTCAATCACATGGAAATCCTCAGTGATAGGCTGCAAACCAATTAAAAATATGTACGAGAACATTCAGAGGCTCACAGATATAACTGAATGATTATAACGACATGAACTAAAGAAAATAAGATACATTGTCTTTGATGAAAATTCAGGTGGCCCAGAGATTCAAGCAGGCAACAAAAAATTCCATTATGGATAAGATTTTGTTTTGATAAATCACACAGTGTCGTACAGTAATATCAATCAGTTAATATTACTGTACAACGCTGTGTGATTTATCAAAATAAAATCTTTTCCATAATGGAGTTATACTCTACCACAGTGCCAAGTTTTATACTTATATCAACAAAAAATTACTGTGATGGTGAGTGCCTAATAAAGATCATTACTGAATACCGTGTTAAAACTGATTGCACCACCGGTTTCCGAGGAATACATTGGGTAAGTTTGTATGGCTTTTTGCAGGTAGACCGAAATAAAGAAACAACTCTCAGTTGAATTTCATTAATGTTTCGTCTAATGTGTACCAATAGTGGCCATACTTTCCGACATTTGTTGTTAGAAACAGAAACAGTTCATACATTTATGAAGTACCACTGAACTTTGATGCCTAGATCATCGTCGAAAGGTTTACCAACAGAACTTAGGACTAGAAAAAACTGTCATAAGATCGATAACATGTCACGAATGTCCTTTATTATATCGAATGAAGAAGGGTTAAAACCAAACTGATGGACTAGTTGTATGACATTAACTATATTATCGTATTAGAATGGGCTATGGCTTATTGACCATACCGCATAGTCACTATACATACCTCAGTGAAGACTGCTATGGCTGGACATTTTCACTAATTAGCATCAACAAATTGATTCGTAGACATGACCCTGTCCTGAAGAAAGTTATCTGTACCTTGAAAGGCTGGGTAGCGAAGTTGTCGTGTTTGAATCATATAGGGGATGATGAATTTTTTCAAGAATTGTGATATATTACACAGATCAGCACCAGTAAGCACAAAATCTAGATCCAGAGATTTCTTTCAGTTGATTTCCCTCTAAGTCTTATTTTGTTAGTTTTATCCTTCGATCAATATTATATATATATATATATATATATATATATATATAGCTAAGTAACACAGTAAAGAAGCCTTCATTCACAGGACAAAGTGTCACAGGTGTAGTCATTTAAGTTATTTAAATTTTCCTCTGAACTTCACCGATGCCTGCTGACTTTTAGCAGTCACAGTTTAAGCAAGTATTTTCACTGAGTTCATGGATTTGTCCATACGGATCGTAATCTTCTCAGGACAGTACGATGTGTCAATGGAGACCTGTTCTTCTTGCTAAAACCGGCGTTAATTAATTACTGAGCTGGTCACAGGTACAAAGGTAGGTCTTCAGTGTCATACATTACAAAAGTACTGTCTTCTAATAGACTTTAGCTGTTATTACTAATAATAACGGCTTATGCTGTTCGAAACATTCAAAGCACCTTTTTTTATTTCAAAGACTACGATGAGCATCATTACTTGCTTGCTAAATAATGTTTCGTGTGGATGAGGTAAGCTGATTCCGATCCTTTATCTGTCCTAGATTAGGATCATGTTCTAGAATACTTAATGCTATCTTCAGGTTTTGTGTACTAGAGTATATTAGAAGATATCATATGTTGAAGAATTATTGATATCACTTTCATCTCGTTAATACACAAAACTTCGATAATTAGGATACAAAGTAGAAACTCAAAGCTTTATTATTGTAGAATTCTTGACTAATTGGCAGAGCAATAGAGATAATTATTTGTACAATTAATTGACATGACCGATTGTATTCTAGCTTTAGGCATTTGACTGACCTTCTCTCTTATTGGTTAGTTATGCCTTTATGGGACCAGTCGCCTAAGTTCAATGACTGTACTAAAAGATTAGCATCAACTGACAGAGGAAATTCAAGTTAGATGATTTATGTCTATTACACTGGTATTAACAGTTTCTCTGCTCACATTGACCATTAATAATTCTAAAAAATGCATACAAGCTTCTTTTCTCTTGTACTTTCAGATAAGCGTTTATTGTACTTATCCAGTCGTGTTGTGTTCCATGAAACTCGGGCTTAGAATGTTGTGAATCTCCTAGCCTTCAGGGTGGCCATTACTATCACCATTTAGACTTGCAATATTTACTATTCTAGCATTTAAAGAGGCTAGAAATGTATGAAAACGCTAAGAACAGCTAATATTCCTGAGATATTTGGAAACACCACAGCTTCCTGTCATTTTCATACTTTTAAATACAAAAAACCGATTAATACGCCATCTTATTTCACGCTTGACTTTTGTCCGACTTCCCTGATAATACATATGACTGTGTATTTAGATTATTGACATATTTAGTGAATGACTTCCCTCTTAAATAAACATCCTATTTACACAACAAGCAAAACCCGATATGATTATGAGCAATAGTTTATGCTCTAAACGTCATAAGTTAATATTACTGTATAACACTGTGTGATTTATCAAAATAAAATCTTATCCATAATGGAGTTATACTTTACCACAGTGCCCAGGTTTTATACGTATATCGAAACCCGAAAGTCATTATCATTATTATTGCTATTTCAAACAAGAGTGTGTGATGTTTAGAGTTGCTTTATACGCAAAAGAGTTTCCCTGATCCATATTTGTTTATATGAATACAATTACTGAACCATAAACACATCAATATATATATATATTATATAATATATGACGCTTGCGTCTTTATTCACACGCATAAACTGAAAAAAAGAAATCTGAGCACTGAAACAACTACCATAAATGACAGAATTGATGAATGCATACTTCCGTTTCTACATCTTAATAACTAATAAATTAAAGTTATTTTAAGAAATGCAAAATAAAGTGTTTTTGATATACCTTCAGAAAGAAAAGAAATGTTGACATAATATTTGTGAATGTTAATTAAGTCAGGTTACACTAATTCAAGTGCCCTATTTTTTATTATTGTTTTCAGTGATCTTTACGCTTTCTAGTAATTTTCTTAAATAGACATTGACGACTGAATGATCAAAACAAGCAAATGATTTCAGTATAATATGTTAGCTGGAAAGCAGTTGAATATGAGACAGAATATATGATCCAGTGCTGATCAGTGTTTAGTTGTGTAAAGCAACATTCATGGCGGTTACTTCGAGTTTGAAGATACGCCATTGTGACCAGTGAAAATAAGCCTCAGTCATTAGTACAAAGTAGCGTGATGACTGCCCCAAATTATCAAACATTAACAGGTATATATATATATATATATGGAATGTGAACACACTGATGCGCAGAAATATTTTGATGATGATTTCCACAG